GACAATGCAGGGTCTGTTTGGGGCCTGAGGGAGCAGCAAAGCCTCGGGGTAGAAGGAAGGAAGTATGAGGACTCAGGATGAGCCATGATCGCCTGCCAGGCCGAGGGGAGCAGTGGGAGCAGTGGGGGGCTCAGGGGGGACCCTAGCCCCAGCCAGCTCTGATGGCCTGGGCGCCTGACTCTGATGGAGGACACTGAACTCTGGGCCACTTGAGGGCAAGGTGGATGAGTGACCTGGACCTGGGTGGGTGATGGCCAGGCCCTGGCTCAGAGCCAGAAGTCGGGGGCCCCGCCACAGCCATGCCTGGTCATTGTCTGCAGCCCCTGGAGGTGGTCCCTCCTTCTCACCCACCCCGTCCTCCAGGCCAGCCAGGGGGTCAGCTGCAGGAGGGGAGGGCACTCACCTGGCATCCAGCCCTTCCTGGGAGAAGCCCTCAGCCTGGGCACCAGCGCAGTGAGTAGTGAGCCACATGCAGAGGATGAGGCCGCGGCTCACCAGGGCGCCTGGAACAGAACAGGCCATCAGCAGCCTCTAGCCCAGTGGTTCTCAACCTTCTGGCCCTTTAAATCCAGTTCCTCATGTTGTGACCCAACCATAAACTTGTTTTCGTTGCTACTTCATAACTGTAATGTTGCTACTGTTATGAATCGTCATGTAAATATCTGATATGCAGGATGGTCTTAGGCGACCCCTGGGAAAGGGTCGTTCCATTGCCAAAGGGGTCTCGACCCACAGGTTGAGAACCGCTGCTCTAGCCCCTCGAAGGCCGAGCCCTGCTGAGGGGAAGCACGCGTGGGAGGTCCAGCGCAGGTCTGCCCAGGGATCCTGTGTCCAACATGGAGACCTCGGACGCCATGTGGCCCTGGTCACCTGTGTATAGCGGCCTAGGCCTGAGCGTGGTGTGTGTCTGACTGTACATGTGTCTGACACTGCATGTGTGTGTTCCCAACGCCATGTACATGTGATGTGCACATGTGCGTGGTGGCATATACATGTCCATGGTGGCATGTATGTCCAATACAATGCATACCTGGTGGTATGGCAGTGTACATGTATGTGATGATATGTACCTATGTGCAGCTGGTAGCGTGTGTATTTTTGTGTCTGGAAGCATGTGCAAACATATGTGATGGACTGTAAATGTGCCCACCAATGTTCACACATGTGTGATGAGATGTGCACGTGTGGACTGTATGTACCAATGCACTTGTACTTTCGATCCTTGTGGCTCTGTCCTCACAGTTTGAGACCCAAGACCCTCAAACAGAGGGAATGGGGTCGACCACGACCTCCTGAGCCCCTTCTAGCTGTGACCTCTCCTTGTCCCCTCGAGGCCCCCCAGGCCCAGTGCCCTGCCTGTCTTTCTCCTTCCCTCCCCTGAGCCCCAGCCGGCCGGGGGGCATCCTGGGGCAGGGCCCTGATCGCAGGCTTGGGAGGACACGGTGGCCGGAGTGTGAGCACTCTCCACATTGGCCGTCCTGCTGCCCGGAGCCCCTGCCCTGAGGGGCGTCATCACCTGCTCTGGGGCCCATGGCTGTGCGCGGTGCACGGAAGGCGCTGGGGTCACAAGCAGCGGGTCCCGGACAAGCTGGAGAGGAGACAGGAAGTGATGAGGCCGGCCCCACCGCCTCCCCTCACCAGCCTTGGCCGAGGGGCACAGACAAGAAGGCCTTCTGTCCAGCATCACGCAGGCTGGGCGCCTTGCAGGGCAGGCAACCTGAGCCGGGCTACAGCTGCGTCTCTCTGCCTTTGGGGAGGGGTACAGCCCCACCAACAAGCATCTTTGGAACAAAAGGGGGAGCCGGGCCTTTCTTATCGCAAGTTGGGGCTCAGGGGACCCACAGGCTGTGGCTTGGGTTGTGGTGTCTCCAATGAACAGATCTCTTGACAGTTACAGGGGAGGGGGCAGCAGTCCCAGCGGGTCCCCACAGGCCGCTGGGGGGGGGGGGGG